AAAGAGACATAAAGGAGATAACAAGCAGCATAATACAAATAGCGACTGGTAATGCAGTATTCTGCACCTGACTGCCTTTGCTTAGAGTAGCAATAAGCATAAAAAAAAAATTTGCAGCAAAACATCAACTCTCTTAGTAGGCAAGTCTGGGTAAAGTTTGTGTTAGAATAAATCAGCAAAAAAGACTGGTGAGATAGAGAGAAACTCTTAAGTAAAATCCTGCCACTCATTTTAGGAAATAACTTCTTGAAGACTCAACAAACAGTTCAACTATAGATGACAACAAGAAGATAGTCTCATTTGCATATGAATGGAAAGGAGCATTTTCACTTCTAAGCTACCGTGCAAATTCTATCCATAAGCGAAATCTTATGCTAATTCAGTGTATGAAAAGCAAAGCGGATGACAATGAAGCAAAGCAATTTATTATATTTACATAATGCCTAGGGAAAAAAATTGAATAGCAATGATCCCAGGCTGATGAGGCATTTCAACAGCAGTTAGTTTTTCTTGCAGATAAAAAATACTTCAATGTTTCCTGAAACGTGTTCTAGTAGCATTAGGCAACCTTTGATATTAGGTGAGAACAGGGGGAAAGTTACGTTTACTTATGAGAAAAGATGAAATAAGCTAAAAGCTGAAACTAAATGAAATATTACAAAGATGCACAATACATGAAGTAGTGTTTTGGTTTTGGTGTTTTTGTTGTTGTTTTTGAGATATTAAGGACCACATCCAATAATATCTTAAGGTGCCTGGCCTCTGAAGTGGAATCCTGAACCCAGCTTGAGCTATGTGATATGCTTGGAGAATAAGCTTCTTCTGAGAACAGGGGTGAGTCCTACCTCTCACATGGCTTTATGTTAAGTTGTTAAGTCTATGTTGGACTTTTGCTGCCCAGAAGAATTTCTTGCGAAGACAGAGAGGCTTTAACTTTAACGTGTTTTATCCAATTGCTACTTAATGTTAAGCAAGGGAACAGATATTGGAAGTGATCTTCAGTGCATGTAATTCAGTGGACACTTCCTTGTAAGCCCATTGTTGCTTTATCTCAGATCTATTAACTTTACTTCATTTTGTTCATAATCAAATAACGTGAGGACATTAATTCCAGTGGTGGAGAATGGATTTGCCTACCTTGCATAAAGTCTCATAGTGAGAAAACTCTCAATACATTGTAAGAAGTGTCTGTGTCTTTTCAACCTCTTAAACCTGGGTGGTCTTTATTTTGAGAACCTATCTTTTATACTGAAAATAGCTATCAACATTATGAATATCCTGTGGTTCCAACCATCCTATGTGGAGAGCCATCCACTCTGTTTGTTGGCTGGCATGTGCTCCCAAAATGCCTGCTCAACCAAAACCCCTTAGGAAGCTTTGATCTGAATGCTTCTTCCCCTTGTCAGACCAGCACGATTCACAGCATGCTGTATTTGCTGCCAGGGGCTTGTTACAGCCAGGCAGGATGGTAGTGGGTGACTTGGCACTGTCAGGGTAGGGTGGTGCTTGTGCTGATACTGCAAGGCATTGCTGGGACTCTGAAGTACAGCCAATGCACTGCTAAACCCAAGAAATACTGGGGCAGTCAGAATGCACGTTCCTAAGCTGTCCCCGCAGAGCAGTTGCTTTCTTCATGAAGTGGCAAGCAAGCAGATGCATGTATTTGGAATCCAGTAGAAGAAAACATGGATGGAATTTGGTTTTGGCTGGTTTTCTCTGTTTGTGCTAGTGAGAGGTAATACTGAGCTGCAAAGCAATATTCTTTGAAAGGTTCCAGTGAATTTACTACAAGAGCACACTCTGAATGATTATGAGAACTTTGGGATTCATTGCAGTACTGTTCACAGTGACCCCTTCCATTATTTTATGGAACATATGGGCCTGGCTGTCAATTTTAATAGGGAAGACAACTTTGTTTAACACAGAAATGTATCTTTAATAGCCAAACCTGTTAGCAGTGAGCATTCTGTAAAAGTCTCCATCAGAGACATTTGTGCAAATGCATTTGAATTAATTTAAAATCCTGGAAAGGATTGAATGTAAAGCAAAATTTTAGATTTGTAAACTATCCATGTGCCCCTGAATTATAAGGGTTTCTGACATAATACTGCAAACAGATTTCGCCTGTACCTACGAAGAGGGATATTTTTACTATATTGTACTGATTAAAGAATGGGATTAAGAGGTAGGTTTTAGAGAATTTAATTCTCAGCTCAGCTGCTCATTTATTATGCATCCACATAAGCCTCAACCACATTAGAAAGTCTTGGCTCCCTCCACACATGCAGCATGGTCCCCTAGTAGCGCTCCGAAAAGCCGGAGCTCCAAGTGCAGCCCAGCAGGCAAACATGCAGCTCTCTGCAGCTGAGCTGAAAACTGCCCATACTCCATCCAGCATTCTGTGGTCACCGGGGGATATACTGCTCGTGGAGTTGCAAGAAGCTTCTGTAGAGTCAAGTCCTAAGAGGTTTTGGTTGTTTTTTTTTGTTTGTTTTTTAATTTTGTGTGGGATGGGTCAAGCCCTCAATGATGCAGGGGGTAATACTGGACTGATAAAGACCATTATCCAGAATTCACACTCAGTTTATTGATGGTGGTGAACCCTGCACAGAGTAGTAAACACAAGGGCTAGTCTGCTGTTTAGGTTCCCCAGCAGCTGCATCAAATAGGCCATCCAATTAGTTTGATTTTTTTTTTTTTTTTTTTTTTTTTTTTCCCATAATTTTATGATGATTACTTCCTGGAAGGCATTATCTTCAATGGGATCTACATCAACTATTTTAGATGGGTTTCCATATTTGTTACTTACTGTTCACAAAACTATTTCACTTAACAGTGGGCCATCAGTATGATTTATTAACAGTCCAATAATGTAGGATCAGTATTTTAGCTTGCTTTGTTTGTTGTATGTTTGGTTTCTTTATTACACTTTGGAAATGCTGCAATAAAGAAAGCATCCTGGTGCTTTTTCTATTTGTTTTATTAAACCGCTTTGCTGCAGGGTATTTGACTGTTGTCATGTAGGTTCCCTTTTAATATACCAGCTGTACTTCATGCTTATTCATTTCCTCTGTCCTTAAATGTTCCTCAATAAACTAAGCAATCTATTTATTAGAAGTAACATAGAATGCAAAATCTGTACACTTTCTTCTTCAGTGCACCAGAAGCTGGTACGCCTATACTTTTTGATGACAAAATTACAAGTTTTTATAAATACTGAAAATGTGGTTTTCAAAATATTGACGTATACTCTGTTACATATGTAAATATTGCAGCTAAATTGTCATTATGGAGCAAAGAGAGAGTAAGTGTTTAGGACACTGCATGGACTGTTCTTTCTGTATTTTCAGACTTGCATGCATTAATTATCAAATATAGCTGCTGCAAGGATAGACATTTGCAAAATAACTTTCAGCAAGCATTGATAAAGTAATCTTTTACTCAAATTTGTTTTCTAGCTGATAGTAGCATTGACTGTATGCAACTTAGATCAATATCACTTGCAATAAAACCCCACCATCCTGAAAGGAATGCAAAATTCCTGTGATGTAAATAAATGTGGCTTTTCTATTCTTAGGAAGTACATACATATTTCATATGATATTTCACACAAATGCTACAATTATGAGTAAAATACACACAAAATTAAGGGAATAATTGTCATTATACTGTTTTGTTAATATCTGAAGCTCATTCTATGAAAAGTTTGAGCTATAGGCCACAGTAATATTCACCTGAGCTCATATTTCTCCTGCTGAACCGTCCTTATGTCTTACCTTGCAGGCCTATATGGCACCTTTTGACTTTCTCCAAATGCATCCACATCAATGCTAAGAAGATTCTATTTATTCTAAAAGTACTTGAAACCCCATTAAAGGCAAGTCAAACACAAGCCACAGACTTGTCTTGAGCTATTATTTGCCAGTACCTGGTAGCAATAGGATGAGTGTTTCCAAATTTTTTCTGCCATCTGCCAAAGTCACCCTAAGCACTGGACAAGGTAGACCTCAAAGCCAGCTTCTGGATTGCAGTTGCATCCAGAACTCTGAAGATCTTCAACCAAGCCAGGACTGTATTTTTTTTTTTTTTTTTTGAAGCTGCCAGCTTTTACGTAATGCAGAGTGAGAAGATCAGAAAATATATTTTTCTCGTAACTATGTCAGGAATAAATACATGAAGCAATTTCCAACAGAAGACAGATGTCTACTGGAGTTGTCTGTAGCAACAGTACCATTTCTGAGTTACCCCCCCCAAAAGAATCAAATGGAAAAGGCTGGTGAGTTAAACATGAGTGAGCATCTGTCTCCAGCCATCTTTCTCTTCTCCTCCAGGATAACAGAGGAGAAACAGAAAACAGAAAAGTTTGTCAAAAGACAGTAGAAATCCCATTTCAGTTGGCACCCTGTTTCCAAGCAGCTTCTGAGGAAAACAGCTGCCAGACTTTTCAGTAGTCCAGCTTCTGGATTCACTCTCAAGTGAGTTCCCAAGTGAATGTGGCTTTTCATAGACGCTTAGAGGGAAGATGCCATGAGACCGCATAAACACAGAACAGGTGAATATGTCTGCTCACATTCGTACCAGTTGTGAGAGTGACTGTGGTGAAGGTAACTGATTAAGTTCTAGGAACTCTCCATTAAATATGGAGTGTAAGTCTGGTCTTTGAAGTGCAGACATAATCTCATTATCTTTTCAAATGGATAGATTTTATACATCACACCCTAATGTCCAAACTCGGTGACACCTTCACCAATTTGGGTCCCAGGTTGGGTCTATCTCAGAAAATATTGTCTTACAATATTGTTGTGTATGTCTAAATTTAAAATATATTCAGCTAGAATCATCTGCGTTACTAGATAGCATAAAATAAAAACAAATTAAAGTTCTATTGTCATACTCTATCAGTTCTGATATACTATGAATGGAAAATAACACTCAAATATGCAAACTGATAGCATACATGTTTTCTGCTTTCTTCCACAATAGTAATTCTTTAAAAAAAAAAAAAAAAAAAAAGACTGGAAGGAGCCATGTCCCTGTTTCACAGCAGTATCAGAAGTATCTCTATCACACCTAAGGAAATTTTTTCCAAGTGGTTCTTGGACAAGTCTTCCTTTTTCCATATGGAGTCCATTACATTTGCTTCTATTGCTGGTGGAGTTTTTTCTTCTGTCTCCAAAATATGTGAGTATGTATGAGTACTTTAACTGAAAAAAAAAATTTTCTCAAACATTTTCTGGACATTCTCATTCGTGCTTTGTCCTTCCTGATTGCTTTTATGGTCACCACGCCCCTTCTTCTCAGACATTCTTTGTTTATATGTCAACAGGACAATAGTTTTGTTGGTTTTTTTTTTATGTGTACACTTTTTAGATATGTTCATATACAGCCTAAGATCCACTGACTTTCCACGCAGAGATGCCATGTTTTTTCTCTTCATGCAGTTGTGTGATGGATTTATTCTCATTCCAGTGTAGTTTGTCATAGTGTACTTTGTGAATTACACACTATCTACTCTAGAACGCCTCCACAGCATGTTAAGATCACCCTAAATACTAAATTATACTCTCCAATTTATTTAATAGCCCATAAGAAATAAGTTGTGGACTCCAAAGACTTTCAGCAATGGTAGCCCTCAGTAACTCACTCATAGCTCGCTCACCTGGCAAGTTTCAATTCCTCCATGTTTTATCATCTTACTTCTGAGAATGCTGTTTTAAATCACATCAAAAACTTTTCTATAGTCAAACCATAGAATACCTACTGCTCCATCCTATGTACGAGGCTATTAGCAGGAGAAATATGATTAATATTTCCTGACATGATTTATTCTTGACAAATCCTTATGAATTGTTTCTTATCACCCTGTACTTTTATTTCTGTTCGCAGATGTTATTTATTCTGGTATTTTCAGGAAATGGAAGCTGGGTTGAACACTCTGTAAGTCCGTAAAGCCTGCTTTTTTGTAATTCTATTTGCCACCAGCCAGTATTCAAAAATGTTACACTTTTCCTTCCATAAGTTCTCAAATACAATAACAAAGTAATATCTGAATTACTACATTATAGATTTTAGAATTTATTACAGTTTGATATCTGGAAGGAAGTCATTTTTGTGATAAAATGAAGAGTCTTTTTACTCAGACTTTCTGGAAGTATACAAAACTTTTGTGCTATTTGAAAATATGAAAACAAGAAAAACGGAAGCAAATATGATTTTACCATAAATTCAACCATGTTCCCATTTTCAAAATATTCTTCTTTTGTTCTTTTTAATATGTCTGTTGCCACTGCCTTTCATTATCTCTGTATACAGTATTTTAAGTATAAAATTATTTTTCATATGCTTTATTGTGCATTTATAGAATGCCTACCATGCACAGCAACTTTCATTTCTTATACATCCCTATAGAGGTTAAGTTTGGGATGGTTCAGGCTGACAACATGTTATGGACTACGAAGATAGTTTCCCCAAAATAGCTGAAGAGTGAGTACAGTAACTTCTCTTCCCCGATGCTGTTTTTTCTAGTCATGAGAACTGGAACCCAGATTCCTGAGAAGCTGTGTTGGCTTATCTGGAGCATCTACATTAGCAGTGGAGTGCAGGGATGGTACTTGTGTTGTGAATCTGCCTTGTGTCTTGGTTGCCTTTTGGAGCATTTTGGTTTGTGTTCTAGTGCTCCAGCACCATGTTCAAATCAGTTTCTGTTCTGGGGGAATCTGAATTAAGTCCTGTTGCTGAGCTCTACTGATGTGCAGTCATAGACAAGGACTCAAGCATGAGTGAACCCAGGACCAGTTCAGGAAGAGCTGAAGTGGATACGCAGTTGTGGAACTGTAACTTGTCAGTGAGATCCAACCCCAGCCTCCTCTCCTCACATTGCGCCGGCCAGCTGTGTAGATGTTCCCTTGCATACCTGCTCCCTCCTCTTTAGGTACTCTTCTGCCCTGCTTAGGAATTACCCAATATTTTTGGGGAGAACTCTCATGTAAAATAAACAACTTGACATGAAGTCTCCATCTTCCTTAGATGAATTATTTACAATTTTGCTTTATTTCAACAGCTTTTTAAGCTCTTCTTTATTATCCTTTTGGGTTTTTTTTTCTTTTTTCCAGAATACTACTTCTTTGTGGAAAGCCAAAATCAAAGAAAACACTTTCTATGTCTGACTGTGGGATCTGAAAATAATGTCTCCTAATAATGTTTTTCATTCCTGGAGAAAGGAATTTCATCATCTCAGGCAGGCTGCTAGGAAAGACCAAGCTCCATTCTACTGAAGAAAATACCAAGGACAGAGGATGTTCAGTTGCTAAGAAACTGAGAGCAGCTTTGAGAGGTAAGGTGATCTTTCCAGCATTTATGATCCAGTTCTTCAGGAGTCTTAAATACAAGACTTTAAATGTTCAGTTTTGTGCCAATGGGGATAACTGAAAATGAGAATGATATCTGTACTACAATCAGTTTTTTGGTCATCACTGGTGAAAGTGATGGTAATGATGAAGTGAAGGTAATAATGGTGACTGTGATGAAAAAAAGCATTTTGTAGCTGAGAATTTGCTCTATGAAATAATGTTTTTGTGCTCTTTGTATCTGTTGCAGTTCCTGTGGAAATAAACAGGAGATATTACTTTTGGAGCGAACAATGTGGTATAGTTCTTATTTAAAATAACTGCTCTTCAATTGTTTCTAGTTAGAAACATGCAGTGATGATCAATGTGTTACTTTGCCAATCATTTAATAAACATTCTCAACGTAATCTTAAATGAATAAATGACTACTGAAATGGCTAGAGCAAATGTCATCAATCAATCTCATATACCCAATATGTAAGCTGTTTCATTGGAGTAAAACATATGGTTGTAGTTTAAAAAGAAAATCCTTTGTAAAACTTCTTACAATGTTGCTTAAATAGAAGCTAATCTTTGACATAATCCAATATGAAGAGAGTGAGACAGATTTGTTTCCTTCCTATTCAGTTATAGAGTCTAGCTTTGAAATAGTCTTTCCCAAATGTCTCATAAGTCATAGTGAAGTCCTTTTGTTTAAAACAAAAACAAAAACAAAAAAAAAAGGAAAAATTAACATTTAACAGTTGGGTTGCACAGATGGTGTGGTTAAAATTTATTGCCTAGGAAGACTCTCCATATTATCCTCTATCTGCAGTATTGGGGATCTAAGGAAATCAGTTATCGCTCAGTGTAAGGAGTGACATAAATTTCTGTAATCTTAGCTGCTGTAACAGCAGGAAGGCTGGCATCAAGACTTTCCACATGCTTCCTGCTGGAATAGGCATGAGAATGGAAAGAGTGTGTGAGAGTCTTTGTTCTCTCTCCAAAAGTTCTTGTCACTAGAGCAGGTTGGGTGAGCTACAGCATAAAGGTCATGACACTTACTGCCAGAGTAAGTGCTCTTTGTGAAGCAAAACTGTGGTTGACTTTTCCAGGAAGACCCCTACTCCTGTTCTCATGCAAGAGTTCTTCACGTTAAGTGGAAGTGTAATCTTTTTTTTTCTCAGTTATGGGCCAACAAATAACTGAACTCACTTCTACCCTCAAACTTCATAGCACAGTGGAGTGAAATACAATAAGTAACTTTAGATGAAAGCATTTTCTTTGTTTAAGAGTGAAAGGAAAGCAAAATTAGACCCAAACCACATTTTAAAAAGCATGAAAACTGCAGTCGTGATATATGATGTGCTCTAAAAATGACCAATATTTCTATATGCTGTACTGAAAGATATGCAGCAAAGTTGATACAGAAATTGTCTTTACTATCAAGGGGAATGCCTTTTGTTATACAATCTTGTAAACTGGTCCATGCTTTCTCTTTAGACTACTATTTTTATTTTTAAGAAGAGAGCGTAATATACACCTGAATGTCTTCCCATCTATACATATATCCTATAATGATAATCTGAAACAGCTGATAGACTGAAGTAGTTTAGAAAAAACTGCAGTTATAAGAACAAAACATAATAATGAATATATAATTCCGGCATTTTTCTGAAAAGTTTCAGGTAAAATATTTTCACTAAGAATTCTTATGGGGTCCTCCTGCTCCAGGTTCTGATCTTGCAGTGGATATGTTGAATAACATTGTGAATTACTAACAAATAGAAAGGTGTCACCAGTTTTAATTCTGCAAGACTTACTGCTTGTGAAACAAATCGCAAAGCTGATTAGACTGAAGCAATCCTAAACAATAAATAAGGTTATTTTAAAATGTTTAGGATTCAAATCTTAAACGTCATCACAGATCAAAATGCATTAATTTCTCTTTGCAAGTATTTTGGTTCCTAAATCAATTGAAATAGGATAGACAAATCTCTAGATAATTCAAGTAACACTGAACAAAATCAGTCAACGTTACTTTTAAATGCCTTTTATTTTTCAATCTGGCAGTAGCTATGTAGAGAATAATTCCATTCTCCCCACCAGCAAACAAGAAGAAAAAAAGTAACACTTTTATTTGGAATAAATTAGATATCATTTGGATATTTGGATAGTGGTATACTCACGTCAGCATGCTCTAGTTCAATATGAACACATGCAAATGTCCTGAGCACCTGAGCTTCTTTGGTAAACTTTAGGAAGCTCGGGGAATGGTGATTAATGCCCAATCAAAGTTGTTGCAAAGGAAAAAACAAAAATGCACAGGCTGTACTCAGAGCCTTCTGGCATCCCCCAGGTTGAAAATGCCATCGCAATTGTTGCTTTCCTAAGTGAAGAAACTTCTCAGGAGTGTTCAGGAACAGGGCTATCTGCCACAGCTAATAACTCACATAATATCTACCCCTCCAGAACCATAATGCTCTGGCCCCAGCCGCATGCCTGCTCTGCATGACAGAGCAGCTGATGGATGGGAAGAACAAGCAGAAATGGTAATGAGTCCTGGGATTCAGAGGGACACTACCCACCTTATGTGTTGGAAGAATTTATGAAGATAACATGACATACTAATATATTTTTACAGCCCAAACAAGATATTTTATGCCAGCTGTGGGATCCACACGTAGTTCATCAATATAACTTCCAGGACCTTTCCCCTTTTTCCCCAGTGCTTGTACATAGTGTTATTATCAAAGCAGGTAAGGGTAAGTTGCTAAATAGAAAACTCATGAACAAGAAAAGAAACACCTTTTGCTTCTTTTCTGATTTTTTTAGTGGCATTTTTAATAAAAATAGAGAAGGAGCAATAAGTTTTCTACATAACGCATCTCCCTTGCAGTTAAAAACCTCTATAATTTTTCTCCTTGCGCACTGATGGATGTAAAAAATTCTATACAGTGGCATCACTGCATCATCAGAACTGGGTTGTTTTTGCTAAAAAGCAGTGTAGCTGACCAAGTTGGAAATGTTATCTGCAAAACTCTAACAGTGACATGAACTTTTTGTCAATCATCTTTAACCACAGATGCTATAAAACACCAGCCAATTTTTTTTATCTATATTAAATTTAATGTTTTTTATTTATTTATTTATTTAATGTGAATGAATAAGCTTTCTTCAAATAATTGCTGAAATAATAATTTCATTCTACACTAGAAAGGCAAAAATCTCTAGACAATGAAGTACATTATGGGTAAACTGATCTTGTTATCAGGATCTTATCTAACACATAAGAAGGGGAAACTATCATTGTGTGACAGAAAGGAATTCCAAAATTCAGAACAGTCATCCAGACAGTGACCTCACAATCCAATTCACAATATGGGTTTCCTCCAAAACCATGTGAGCGCCAACCTTAGAGCCTTCCTAACTTCTTCTCACCTGCTCATTGATCGCATCACACCTCTCAAAGATCCAAAGTCTAGCATTTATTTTTGGTGTATTTTTCCCTCTCTCTCTCTCTTTCTCTTTTTTTTTTTTTTTCTTGTAGAAAAGAGGTATTAATGGAAAGGGAAAAAAAAAAAATGCTGTGTTGTTTTCAGGTGAGTGATTGTAAATGTAAAGGCTAGCTTTGTTTGAGTTAGACAGAAAGAACCCAAGGTTTTAAATGAAGGAAATGAGTAATTCGGCATGACCAGGAAAATGGATACTTTGATACATACCTAATATTGTTTTATGGTGCTTTATAACGCATAATCAAATTCCACAACAGTAAATGTGGATTAAGTCAATGGTGAAAACAGATTGTTAATGAAAATATAATAGGTTTATGCTCATTTCCCAGGAGACTAGTCCTTCACTGTACAACAGCTTATAAATTTATAGTGATCTAAAGTGAAATTACATTTCTTGGAAATTTCAAAGCCAACAATGGTATTCAGCCCCAGATTTAGAGGAAACCATTAGTCTTGGTCTGTCATGTGCATCAAGGTTTAGAAGGCAGTACACTGTTACATCACTGAACCTCTGCCAAATATCCCAAAAGGAAAGCAGAAGAGCCATACATCTGGATTGCAACTTTGCCAGCTACACTGTCATGTCTGTGGCCTCAGCAGATATGGTAAAACGTGCACACTGAATACCTTCACTAGTAATGCAGAGGTGAGAATGTGATGGCAGAATTATGCCGAGGCCCCTACAAATTTCTTCTGGGAAGAATTTCAATAGTAACTGACCATGACCATGACCCCAATCCCACATAAAGGCTTTACCGGTGCTCAGGAGTGAGGCTACACTTTTCTTAGTGTAGGACTGGAGTCCAAATACAAATTGAAATTTGCTCTGTCTTCCTATGTATCCCGTATGTTTGAACCATATTGTCAGCATCTGTTTAGATGAATCTAGTGAGTCAGGAATTTTCCAATGAAACTGTGTTTTACTAGAAAGATGGCAGTTTATCAAAACTGAATTTCTGTGGCACTGTGCCAAATTTTGTAGAAAACTTTTCAGGTCCTTTGCAGCTTTCAGTGAAAGAAAGAACCTGCAGCCCTGAATATCTATTCTGAGTCATCACCCCACCTAATACTCATTTGTATGTAAAGATGTATCTACTGTAAACTGGCCTGTCATAAATCTTTTATTCTGTGGATACGTTCTGCTTTTCAGTCTTGAAATTTTATGTGATTGAAGAAGAGTTTGGCTATTTGTTTTTGCTTTCTGGACATCTGGTACCCTGAAAAAAAAAGAAAAAAAACCTAGCTCAACTGGGCTGTTGAACACCTGGATAATGTGAGCGAATGACCACTTTATATAATGAACCCATGTTTTCATCAAGGTTTCCCCATAGAAATTTGGAATCTCCACTTTCCCAAAGCAACATCTAGTAACCATGCATGAATGAGCTGCTTTGGTATCTCCATGTGTCACCATTTTAAGCTACATGACTCTTGACAGATCAGAGCAACTGCAGTTGGGTGGGTTGAGAAACCCATGAGTGTATGTACACTCCTGGATATGAAATGGTTATTTCAGGCTATCTTATCTATCCCACAGTTGTGTGAATGCTTCCAGAATGCACGACCTGAGGTGCAAATTCCAGGAAACCATACCTGCTGTGACCACCACCATGAGGCACATCTGTAGATCATCCCAACCATGCTACAGCTCTCCCCTATTCACACCTTATCAAGTATATTAAATTAACCTTGCTATGCTTATGTCAATAAATACATTCAAACTTCGTGTATTTCCTTGATGTGACAAATGTTTCCAACAGGAAAATATTTTTCAGCTCATTATGTCTCTGTCCTTGATGTCAACAACACTGTCAACAGCAGCACTCTACAAATTGATTAAAATATACATCATAAGAAAAATAAAGATTTCCTTCTATAGTAAACAACTCAGAAATATAACATAAATCCTTGCAAAATCTTCTCATTCCTCACAGGTCTTGATGTGGATCCTTCTGGATAATGCCTAGTTCAACGTAAGCTTATGGAAAAAATGTCTCCTGAAAAGGATCATGGGTTTGGTGTAG